GAATCACTATTGCTTTGTAGTACAGCTTGAGGTCAGGGATTGTGAGTCCCCCAGAAGTTCTTTTATTGTTGAGAATTATTTTGGCTATCCTGGGTTTTTAATTTTTCCATATGAAGTTGAGAATTTCTCTTTCCATGTCTGTGAATAATTGTGTTGGAATTGTGATGCATATGCCAGAGAGGATGTGGAGAAAGAGGAACACTCCTCCATTGCTGGTGGGATTGCAAGCTGATACAACCACTCTGGAAATCAATATAGCAGCTCTTCAGAAAATTGGAGATAATTCTACCTGAAGATCCAGCTGTACCACTCCTGGGCATATATCTAAAAGATGCTTCACAAGGACACATGCTCCACTAAGTTCACAGCAGTCTTATTCATAATAGCCAGAAGCTGGAAACAATCCAGATGTCCCTCACCTGAAGAATTGATGCAGAAGTTGTGCTATTTAGCTATTAAAAATGAGGACATCATGAATTTTGTAGGCAAATGGATGGAACTAAAAAATATCACCCTGAATGAGGTAACCCAGACCCAAAAGGACATGCATGGTATGTATTCACTGATAAGTAGATATTAGCTAAAAAGTACAGATTACCCATGATACAACTCATAGACCTTAAGAAGTTTAACAAACTCGGGATTCCAAGATACAGACCACATGGAGCTCAAGAAGAAGGAAGACCAATGTGTGGGTGCTTTGGTCCTTCTTTGAAAGGAGAACAAAATACTCACGGGAGAAAACATGGAGACAAAGTATGGAGCAGAGACTGAAGGAGAGACCATACAGAGGCTGCCCCACCTGGAGATCCATCCCATATACAGCCACCAAACCTAAACACTATTGTGGATGCCGAGAAGTGCATGCTAGCAGGAACCTGATATAGCTGTCTCCTGAGAGGCTCTTCCAGAACCTGACAAATACAGAGGTGGATGCTCACAGCCAGCCATTGGACTAAGCATGGGGACCCCAATGGAGGAGTTAGAGAAAGGACTGAAGGAGCTGAATGGGTTTGCAACCCCACAGGAAGAGCAATAATATCAAACAATCAAACAACCAGACCCCCCCAGAGCTCCCAGGGACTAAACCACTAGCCAAAGAGTACACATGGAGTGACCCATGGTTCCAGCTGCACATGTAGTGGAGGATGGCCTTGTTGGGCATGAATGGGAGGAGAGGCCCTTGGTCCTGTGAAGGCTAGATGCCTCAGTGTAGGGGAATTAGAGGGCGGGGAAGTGGGAGTGGGTGGGTGGGGAACACCCTCATAGAAGCAGGGGGAAGGGGGATGGGTTAGGGGATTTGGGGGGGCAGAACTAGGAAAGGGGATAACATTTGAAATGTAAATATAGAAATATCCAATAAAAAGAAAAAAAATAGACAGATAAAAAAAACCAAAAGCAATTCTCATGTTTAATTTTAAGAATGAAAAGTATCTGATGCTATTAAGCCTTCTTTCTCCTATAATAAATAAATAAATAAATAAATAAATAAATAAATAAATAGAAAAAATGAAAGATCCAAGTGAAGATGCTTCAATTCCACTTAGAAGGGGGAACAAAATAATGATGGGAGGCGGAGGGAAAGAGAGACCTGGGTGGGATTGAAGAAGGGAATGGGAAAAGGGGGTCAGGACCAGGTATTGGGGGAGAGAAGCCAGGAAAATGAATGGAAATATACAGCTGTGGAGGGTTGGGGAAGGGGGTAACCTTTAGAAAGTTCCAGAGATCTGGGGTGTGAGAAGCTCCCAGGACTCAATGTGGATGACCTTAGCTAAAATGCCCAACAGTAGGGAGATGCAGTAGATTGACAGGACCCCCAGTGAAGGTAGATCACCAACCTACCTTCAAAAATTTTGACCCAGAATTGTTCCTGTCTAAAAGAAATACAGTGACAAAAATGAAGCAGATCGAAGGAAATGCCATCCAGAAACTGGCCCAACTTGGGATCCATCCCATGGGCAGGCACCAAACCCTGACGCTGTTACAGATGCTATGTTGTGCTTGCAGACAGGAGCCTAGCATGGCTGTCCTCTGAGAGGCTCTACCAGCAGCTGACTGAGACAGAGACAGATACTTACAGCCAACCATTGGACTGAAGTTGGGACATCTATAAAGAGTTAGGGGAAGGCTTGAAGGAGCTGAAGGGGATGGCAAACCCATAGAAAGATTAACAGTATCAACTAATCCAGACGCCTGAGAGCTCCCAGAGACTAAGCCACCAACCAAAGAGCATGGGCTGGTCCCTGGAACATATGCTGATGAGGATTGCCTTGTCAGGACTCAGTGGAAAATGACACACCTAATCCTGTAGAGACTTGATGCCTCAGGGAAGGGGAATGCAGGGGGGGAGGTGAGGTTAGATTGGGGTGGGTGGATGAGGGGTGGGTGGGGAGCACCCTCTCAGGGGCAAAAGAGAGGATGGGGTGAAGAACTCTTAGAGGGGAGATTGGGAAAGGGGGTGACATTTGGAATGTAAATAAATCAACTTGAAACATTGATTTCCACCTCTTCACACTTAAGACCATCTTCTTTATTTGGGTGCTGCACCAGGCCTGCAACCCCAGAGCTAACAGCCAGTGGTGGACTTCTGCATGCGGCGGGCAGCCTGTGTTACATAGTGAGTTCCAAGCCAGATATGGCTAGACAAGGGGGATAATATCTTATGTGTGGACAATGTGGCTTACTCCATGGATACATACTTTATGATGTAAATAGTGTCACACTGAATCCATTCTGTCATGTATTAGCTACCCCAAAATATAATACACTATAATACACATTCATTATTGATCCTGTGGACCAAATTATTGAGAAATACACCTGCATTGCTTTATAGCTTCTCAAGAAATGAATACATCCAGTAAGGGAGTATAGCAAAAGCTAGGAAACCCAGAGCAATATGTCTCCTGCAATACAGCATCACTGATAACCAGACAACAGAAATAATGACCTTTCAAGTCAAGTTGGGATCTTTTTGAATAGATACTGTTGGCCTTGTTTATGTATTTAATGTGCTTCTTTTGTTGTTGTTATTTAGATTTATTTTTTATTATCTTATATGAACGGGTGTTTTGCCTACTCTATATCTATAGATCCCTGCATACAGTTCCGTCAGAGGCCAGAAGAGGGACTCAGATCCCCTGCTATAGATGATTGTTAGGAGCCATGTGGGTTCTCTGAGAGAGCAGTAGATGCTCTCAACCTCTGAGCCATCACTCCAGCTCCTGCACTCGTCCTTCCAGCACATGTGCTATGTTAGACTGAATCTAGTTAAGTAGAGAAGTATCTGTAAACATGTAGGGACAGGTGCATGAGGCAGACATTCTGTGTTAGGCTGTCAGGCATCTATGCATGGCTCTGGTGTCCCCACTGCTCTCTATGGGTTCAGGATCATGCCCCAACATCCCTTAAGTTCAGTTTTGGAGCAGATCTGTAACCCCTCTTCTTGGATGACGATGAAGATTAGGCCCATCTGATAAAATACAGAATTGAAATGACACTCTTGGAGGCTGGGGTGGGTTAGGAATCCTGCTTGAAAACAAGAAAAAGAACCCCAGCTCAGCAGTATTGGGAGGAAGCTCTAGAGCAGCCATAACACATGAAGCCTGCAGCACAGGCCACACGTTTCTGGTGGAGAGCATGTCTGTGCAGGCCTGGGGCGTGAGAAGGACAGCTGATGCCCCCCTTTTGCCATATCAGATCTCAGAGTATCCTGAGAAAGAGTTTATTCAGGTGACTGATTTCTGATGAATGGAATGGATCTGACTTCTGAGACTGGAGATGAGCCAGAGTGTTAGAGTGTGGAGGAAGTGATTCTGTGGATCCTCAGACAGTTCCTAGCAACCAGGGCTTTTAAACCTCAACAGAGGAGCAGGATAGAGGCTTTGGTTACTCTCTTACATGGCTCACCTAGTATTTCTGAGCTGACCCTGCCACAGAAAGGGGCAACTGTAGACACACTGGAAACTAGGTGAGACTAGTTTAGTCCACACTACCAGTTACTACTATACTGAGTGGGTGTCCTTGTCTATCTCATAGCTGGAAGGAGCCTGGGCCTGGCTATGCCTTACTCACCTCTGTCCTTAACATAGTGTATGGTTGTTTTGGTAAATGTAACCAGATGTGTAGACCAATCTGACTTCTACTGGACACGTACAGGTAGACAATAGTTTCACACCAGCCCTTCCCAGGCTAAACTGTTCTTACTGTGCACTAAAGACTGAGGCCCCTAGTTTTTTTTCTGAGATAGCTAAATATTCCCAATCTGGATACCATTCTTTCAGCCATTATTAAGGATTGCTCTTGGGCTGAAAAAATTACCAACTTTGTCTCCTCATCCAGTCTTCCCTGTAATTGTTGTGGAAGATGGGGTTCCTGACCTTGAATGTAGCTCAGTGGTAGAGCAGTTGCCTAACATGTACAATACCCTAGGTTCAACCCTATCCTTAAGGGACATAGGGGAAGAAACCTTAAGAACGCAATTACATCTGAGGTATAGCATATGACTAAAGAGAATCTCCATAGTGGCTTTTTCCTCTAACTTCCAGCCTCCCCATAGCTCTCTCCATGGATTCCATTAAATATATATTTTCACTAAGGTAAGCATTAGGTCATGGGGTGGAAAGAATCTGTATGTTATCAATAAAGCATACACACATACAGTATATCGATATACGTACATTGAGATATATATATATATATATGTATATCGATACAGCATAAATATGGATAAACAGCTTATGAAAATCCGTGTTTGAGGTGATCATCTGAAGAAATGGCTCAGTAGGAAAAGCTACTTGCTTCCAAGCCTAGAAACCTGACTTCCTTCCTTGGAACACACATGATAGAGAAGAAAAACCTCTTACAAACTACACTCTGATCTTCATGTGTGTGTACATGTACACTCATGAATACACCAAACTTATATAAAAATGACTCAGAGGATTATGGTGCAAACAACTGTCAAGGAGGCCTGCTGAAGTCTGTTACTAATGTCTCAGGGCACTTTTTCTGGAAATACTGAAATGGTGAGCTACTTAAACTGCACACTGAAACCTGGCAACATGGCTGTTCTCAGAGAGGCTGAGGTGTGCATCAACACCCTGGAGAACAGCAAGAGCTCCATGTACTCCATGCTGCCATCCCCAAGGTGAGACAAAGCCTCATCTCATAGAGGCAGGCAGAAGAAGGGCCTGGGTTAGGGGTCACCATTGAGAGCAAGGACCTCTTCCCTTCCTGACTTTATCTCTAAATAACTGGCCAGGTTGTTGGTCCAGCTCTCACAGCCCAACTCAGTCCATTAGGTTTCTTTCTGTTCCCTCACTGACTTGATTGTGAATGGTTACATTTCCTTGAGCTGCCTTTCTCCATGACACAGACAGCACACAGCACTCCTAGGTTAAGTGTATTCTTGGTGGTCATTGTGACAAGAGATCACGTATATTGTGTCTTGAGGTCTTACAGACACTGACACCCATCAGGTACCTCCTGATATCTCCTTCTTGACAAATAGTTCAGTGGACCATTAATATCTGTCCCATTTGATGGATTTGGGACTTTGGTTATTTTAATTTTGTTCTCCAGAATCTTTAGAAACCATGAAAGTTGGCTTCAAAGGATAACCTGGTAAAACAGGTTATGTGAATATGGCCACCTGGAATCTGTGTGGTCCAAACTCCTCTAAAAGGTCTTTTATAGTTGCCTGCCTAACCAATTTTATTGTATGCTTCCAAGGGTCTAAAAGAGACAGTTTCCTGAGACCAAAGTCAAGCTAGTCCCTGTGACCTGTAGAATTCTTACTTGAGACAGGAACCTTCTTTAGGTGACATGGATGATGACAACCAACTGCTCCAGGTGACCTGCACTGCTCTATGCTGTCATCCACACACCTCTGATATGATAGTCTATCCCCACACCCAGAGTCAAATAATCCACAGTGCTAGCCCTCCTAGGTTCAGGCAGACACCAGTTGCAAAGTAGAAGGGACTTGAACATGTAGGTGTTTACCCAAGCTGGCAATGGTAGGCTTTTGGAAGAGTAAGTCACCCAGATGCTGAAAGTGGACTGTGAGGGGACAGGTAGAGGACTTGGACAAATTCTTCAATCAAGTCTTAGGCTTCTAACAATGATTTCCCCTTTTTGAGAGGCCTTGGGATCCAAGCAGCACAGGAGGGCAATGAAAGTCACTGTCTTGGAGGCCTTGCTCATGAGACAATGTTTCCTTTGTGCTGCACGTGTTCAGTGCAGTTGACCCAGGACTGGGAAGATATGCTCATGGCCACTGCTTGATTCCTCTGGAGCACATCTTTGGGCCTGTTATTCTTCTGCCTTCTGCCCACTTGGATAACTCTTCTTGTCCTTTCTTCCTGGACAGTGATGTGACAAGAAGTCAGTATCTGGTCCTTTTTTTCCTTTTTGTGTACCCCAGGTTCACTTCTGTAATGGCCCAGGGGTCTAATTCTCTCAATCCTGCAAGAAACATAGTCTGTCCTGATTTGATTTCACATGCCTTTAATAATATGGGAGGTAGAGACAGGCAGATCTCTATGAGTTTGAGGCCAGGCTGGTGTACATAGAGTTCTGTGCTAGCTCAGTAGATATGTTTAATGACTAAAGAGACAGATGTGGCAAAACAAAACAAAAACGAGATATTACAAAACTGAAGCAATATTTTCTAGAACACAAATGCTATTTAGAGTTCTCCTAGTTCATTTCCTAAGCTCTGAACTCAAGTTGCTAAGGATCTCAGAGTGGCCATGGGTATTTGGAGCAGCCAGACAGTATGCCTTTCTTTATAATGGTTTGTTTTATTCTCTAGGCCAGGTTGGCTCTTTTACTCAAGATCCTTCTGCTTTAGCTTTCCCAGTGCTGGGATTACAGACTTGTACAAACTAAACATAGCTCTAAATCAGGAATTCCTGACCTGATTTTTTTATATGCAAGACATAGTTTTCAAACTAAACTTAATAGTCTACGAGTGGAAGGACATACTTGTAATTCTATTACTGCTCATGGAGGAAGGATTGCCTACAATCAAGGCAAAGCTATCCAACCTAGCAAGGCCCTATCATGAACTGAGATTTGTAGTTAAGGACTGCACTCTGTCTCTACCAGACTGACCTCTCAGAGAATCAGTGATGGGAAAATGTCTTTTTCTTTATTTTCTTTCCCCAAATGTTCTAGCCAGAGTAATAACAAAGGATGAAGGCCATTAACTAGGACATATCTCTCATCTAGTGCAATCCAGGATATCCACAGTTACACATGTGTATGTATACACAGCTGCTTCCATGCACTGTTGTCCAGGAAGAAGAAACAGGCCTGATCAGACTCAGGACCACACATATGCACATAGGAAGAGCAGTGGAATGGAGCAGGGCAAGTACCAGGCTATTCTGCTTGAGTCCCACTTGAAATGAGAGGTATGTTCTGTCAGGTGCTTGACAAGTGTCCCTCTGATTGCAGGAATACACAGGTGCGATCCTGTGAGCTTTGTGTACAGATTAGTGTGTGCCATTCTGTTTGCATGGGCCACTGTGATGGCCAAAAAGAGCAAATCACTGAGGGTGACATGACCCATAAGTACCTTCCTGGTATCGCCAGCCCTGCTGCCACCTCCCACTCCCAGCCACACTCTCCCCCATCAAACTTGGTGCACTGATATAAATGCCATGTGCCATTCATTCTCCCACCCTGTGGCTTTCAGATCATGCTGTTTCATCCAGGACCCTTCTCTTGTAGACAGGCTTTGCACAGCAAGGTGCCATCAAGGTGAAGAGAGAGGCCCTGCTGACACTGTTGGTTGTGTAATGGCTTCCAAGCTATCCCTCTATGGCCTCTCCATCTTAAGTACAGACTGCTTAGGATGTTCCCTGAGCAGAGGGACAGGTTGGTCATCCTTACAAAGCATATGATTGCCATCCCACTTGCTAAACCTGTAAGCTGGGCTCCCAGTGATGTCACCTCATGAATAGAAGTTGCCAACTGGTTGGAGGTCTTTGTAGCTTTGGCTTCCACAATCATTGTGAGGAATCAAATCCTAGGTGAGAGAGTATTGCTAAGCATGGTCTTCCCTTATCTGCCTGAGGGTAAGGGAAAGATGCCAATAGGATTCCACTTTGGAGTCACGGTGACTATTAAGACCAGTGCACTTCAGGTGATTCAAATAAGAGGTTTTTTTTTTTTAAATAGAGAAGATCAATAATGCCACTAATTTATTACACAACACAACATTTCATCATAGGAGTACAGGGAATCATGTGTTGACAGATCTTTGCATCCCTGATACATGGTACACTAAATGTTTCCAGCTGGGGTGACCATTAACATCATTTTTACTGAAAACACAGTCTGAATTTACAACAGAGATCCTACCCTCTAATCCATGTCTTTGATTTGATGGGACAGGTGATTGAACACAGGCCCTCACTTGTCCTTCCGTGGCTCTCTGTAATCTGGTCACAAAGCTGTCTCTTGTGGTTTCATACAGCTGGTGTTCTTAGCCTGGGCCCCTGCCACAGCTGTCTGTCCAATCTTCAGATCTAGGAAGCATTTTATCCAAGGGGGATTAAGCAAGGGAGGAGGGTGATCAGCAGTCAACCAAAGTTGAAGAGTTTACTGTTAGCATAATAGTGACGTGATTTCATATTGGAGTTATGGTGAACATTAAGACCAGAGTGCTTCAGGTGAATAGATAAGATTTGCTTTGATAGAGAGATGAACAGTGACCTCATTAGTAAATTTACATAACACGACATCCCGTGTCCTGTAACTGGTTTCCTCTTCATTACCTTTTGAAAGTCAGCAGCCATTATCCCTCTCCCACAAATTCTGTGCCACCTTTACCCCAGTACATCATACTGGTAGGACAGACTATAGGTGCCATCTTTACCCCAGCATATCATGCTAGTAAGACAAACTATAGGTGCCATCTTTGCCCCTAGGGTATCATGCTGGTAGGACAAGCTGTAGGCCAAAGGATTTGTGGCTGGGTTGGTGTCCAAACACTACAGTGGATGTCTTTCATGGCTGTAGGAGATGGCTTGAGTAGGGTCTGTATCCTGCAGAACAATCAGTGTTAGCTAGAGTCATCCTAATAGATTCTGAGAAATTTCCATTGCACTAGGTTTCTACTCACCCCTGAATAAGCCCCCCAATTCCACTTGTCCCCTAGTAATTTCTTCCTCCATCCTCTCCTCACCTGGTCCCCCCCTTTGCCTGTCCCACAGTGTGTCCATAATATCTATTCTCTTTCTCTTTCCTATGGAGATCCTTATGTCCTTCCTTGAGCTTTCACTGTTACTTAGCCTCTCTGGTTCTGTGGATTATTGCATTATTATCCTTTAATTCACAGTTAATATTCACTTATAAGTGAGTACATATCATGTTTGTCTTTCTGGGACTGAGTCATCTCACTCAGGATGATTTTATCTAATTCCATCCACTTGCCTGCAAATGTCATGATGCCATTATTTTTAATAGCTTAGTAATATTCTCATGTAAATATACCACATTTTCTTTATCCATTTTTTTGGTTCAGTGACATCTAGGTTGTTTCCAGCTTGAGACCTATGCCAGGAAAAGGAGTCCACACCTAGAAGGCCAGAAATCAGAGGTCAGATGACCCAGAGACTGAGGATAGAACTAAACTTGACTGGCCAAAAACCAAAACAACACAAAAGTAAATCAAAACCAAATGAAAACAAACCAACAATGCAAAAAGTTAGTCAACGAAAACATCCCTAGTGATACTGTGCTATACTCATGCATTGGTAGCTAATCCAATTGCCATTATAGAGGATTAAACGGCCACTGATGGACTCAGATGTGGGGACCTACAGCCAAACACTGGATAGAGGTCAGGGAATCCTGATGAAGAGGAGAAAGAAGGATTGTAGGAGCCAGAATGGTCAAGGACACCACAAGTAAACTCAGAGAATCAACAAACCTGGGCTCATAGGGGCCTCACTGAGACTGAACCAACAACAGGGACCCTGCATGAGTCTAACCTAGACCTTTTGCATGTTATAGTTTTTGCATGTTTTGTATGTTATAGTCATGCAGCTTGGTGTTTATGTGGGACATCTAACAGAAGTAGCAGGGACTGTTCATGAAGACTTTTCTTGCTTTTGGGACCCTTTTTCTCCTACT